AGGGACTAATTTTGTAATTTTTATTTTTTATTTCGAATGTATTATTTTAGGTTAGAAAAATTGGAATATTTATGAAATAGCCCCTATATTTTTGAATGTTTGTATTTCAGACCCGAATGTGTTTTTTATTTATTTTAATTCGGCTATATAGTTTTAAATTATTTTAATTTAGCCCCATGTTTTATTTATTTTTCATTTCTTGTAATTTTAGCATAGTATATTGAAAATGTTTATTGTAGTCACTTGTATATTTTATTTTTGTTTCAATTTTGGCATGATGGTTTGATTGTTTGTGCTTTAGTCCTATTTTTATTTTAATTTTTTAATATTATTTACATATTAGTTCATTTCAGTCATAATTAATTTCACCTGAAAGCCTCATAAGTATAACTCAATCGATTACATAATTGGATTAAGGGTAGTATTTATTTATTTTAAAATATTAAGAAGGGGTTGTCTTAAAGTAACTAGATGTCATATTCCGATGTTTTAAAATATATAAATACCCTATTAGAAAGAACCTAAAAATTGAGTATACTAAAAATTAATCAAGTTTGAAGGGAAAAGGAAATATTCACTTATTTAAACTTATCGAGACAATTCGCCTAATTTTATTAGAGATTAGGTCTAGATATTTTTGAATAATTGAACATCCCTTATCTTTTGTAATCATATATAACTTGGATTAATTGGCTTAATTTTTATTTGGTCGAATCAAATTATTTTAATCTTGAATTCTTTGGAGAAATTATTATATTCCTTTTATTTCAGTTGGAAAGAGAAATATTCGTCCTAAAATATTTGAGGGATTATTTTCTATTCAATTGGAAATATTGGAATATTTTCTATTCCTCAGATTTTTTCGTTCAATAAACATTGCATGGTTGAATCTGGAATAATAGGATCGTAACTTAAATTTGTATTCGAATTCTTAGATTTTTCACTATTAGAGACAATTTATAATCGATGGGGTACTAATTTTGGGCGTTGTGGGGGTGCTTATCCTTCTCCACACGTAATCGATCCCTGAACCTCTTTTTTATTACAAAAAAGAATGAATCTCTAGTTATACGTAGACTAGTTTATCTTTTAAAATGATGTTTTCTTAAAAACTCTTTTAAAAGAAAGTTTTAGGTATTTGACCTACCTAACCCAAAAGGTCGATGACGACTTCAAAATATTTCAAAACCTTTTCAAAGAAAAACCCCCAAGTCGTACTAAGTTTTTCCCCGCATGGGCGAAAAACAGTGTCGGCAGCTTGGCGACTCCGCTGAGGACTTTAGAGGGTCAAGCCTTAAATTAATTCTATATTGTCTCTATAGTTGGAAATTGAGAATTCAATTTTATTTAATTTATGATTCTTTTGATTTCTTTTGATTATTAATTATTTTATTTTATTTTATATCATTGTATATTAATGTTTGTATTTGATTGATTTTCTGATATTAAAATTTTGGATTCGCTTTAGCTCGATTTTAGTGTGGTTTTTTGTCAAAGGTTTGAGAATTTATCCTCACACAACACGTGCATTACATAACATTAGCTCTATACCTGAGCTTTTCCTTTTTAAGTGGGAGTGAAAACGACGTCTTTGTGAGAATTTATTCTCCGTGTCAGATCTAGCAAGTAGCTTTCAGGGTTCATATGCCCTATGTCTTCGTGAGGATTTATTCTCTGTGTCAGGCATAGGGAAATGTGCCCTCTCGAATTGAACTCGATCCGCTTAAGCCTATAATAGGTGAGGATTGAGGGTCTGGATCGCCCAAGGGGGCACCGACAAGGACAATTCAAGTATCTTTACTCCTAGAACCAAAACTTTGTATATAGTAAACTGTAGAAACCCACCCGATCTAAGACCATACTGAAACTCTGTCCATAGGTACCCAAATAAGTGTACACAAAGAAGAATTGAACTCTAACCTTCGTCTTTTAATTTATTCGATATATTCTTTTTGAATAATTGCATGTGAATTAGAAATTATGTTGTTAGGGTTTTAATTTCCTATATGTGTTTTATTCAATGTATTTTATGGTTTATTTACCAGTTGAATTTAATCTTTTCGTATTTTACTAACATATATTTCCTCTCTTTGATTATTATTTTTTGCTAACATCTTTTCCTTGTCATATTTCTTTGTTTGTGCATAAACATGTTGTTAATACCCGAGGTATTTATCAAAATTAGAAGGCTTTTAAAACAACAATGCCACATGTTGTGAGTTCTTTGAAAGTTGTTATAGGATAATTACCTTGGAATTAACACACATTTCACACATATCATGTCATAGAGGTATTGAGTCCCGAGTTAATAGTCGCATTAGAAGGCTTTCAATACAAAAATGTCACTTGAAGAGGTAGAATAGAAATGCAAAAACACATCAATGGTCCAGAAGGGTGCTCCAGGAAACAGCTAAAGATAAACATCAAGCTAGAATACATGAAGCTCAAATGATGCATCATAACAAGTTTTTAAGGGTGATACGACGATGTTTATACAACTAGCCGAAAAGAAGTAATATGTTCAAAGTCATCAACCGACAACGATAACCAACACGAGACAATGGATGATGTCAATCGCATATGGTCGCTCAACAAATGCATTTCTGGAAAAGAAGTCGAAGCGTTGGAATTTTCCATCCAACCAAGGATAAAAGAAGATTGTTTCCTTGCATGTTCGATCAAAATTGAAGAAGTCGAGCAATATGATGTGATTTGTAGTTTCCATCTACCTCGGTGTATTAAGACATTGTGTGTTCTTTGGAAGTTTGTTTATGACAATTACTTTAGGGATCAATTCCTTTGTTGCATTTACATTTTGCATTCCCATTTTTATCTTTGCATTTGCATGAGCATATTTTCATCTTTTCATTAGCATTTATACATCATGCATTGCATGATATATATTGCATCTCAACATGCATTAATCATGGGTCCCAAGAGTAACTCGCGGAAAATCTTATGATAAAGGTTTTGAGGTAAGATGAAGTCACCCCATTCGTTCTTAGAAAAAAAATTGATTGAAAGCTATGGACGTGATGCTATTACCATCTGAAGATCAAGGCACCTCCTTGAGAATTATTGGGCACTAAAGCGCAAGATCCAGAATCTGATTGATTTAGAGGCATGAATAGTCGAAGAATGGTAGGGCATTCTAATCAAGAAGAGATCTTTGCATCTACCAAGAGGCATTTTTTCAATGGCATTAAGAGCATTGTTTTGTTTGAACTCATTTTTGTTTTGTCTTTAATACTTGCTTAAATATCTTAAATCTTTTGATGATTGAACTTATGCTACCTTCTAAGGTTGAATAATTGAACGAGTTTTAATCTTTAGTTCTTCGGATATCAAATGAATTACGGATTCTCTTAATTCTTCAAGAATTATAGATTTTTGACATATGATAAGATTAGAATTTTCTTATACCATCTAGAACCAAAAATAAAATCTCTTGATTCTTTACACAAAATAATTCATGGTTCCTACCAAAAAAACAAAATTTGGAAATTCCATCTCTTTGAGACTTTGAAACATTGCTTTTATTTTTTTGAGACAAAAATTCATACCCTTACGTTTCTTTGAGTCAATAAAGTCACACCATCGTCTTCTTAGACGCAAAACCAACATTTTTTCACCAATAAAACCGAGATATAAACAATTCAATGCATAAGTTAAAATGCTTACTACTATAAGCCCTCAACTATTAGAAAAATTCTACTTCAACGAAGCTCTTCGTTATATTTCAATTATAATATATTAAAATTATTGAATTAATCTATTTAATATAGGGTTGTTAAATAAGATTAGAATCCAGTCGATGTTATAATATTTTAAAATATAAGATATGATATATTTCAGATCAATTAAACATGTAATTAAGAAAATTTATTAATTTAAATTATAACATATTAAATTCAATTTTATTTTAATTTTTTTGATTTAAAATATAAATAAAACATATTCATTTATTAATCAATTATAATATTTGTTTATATATATTTTATACTTTCATACTATTCAATTATTTCATGTTTGAGTCATCATCATTTATTATCATTAATATTATAAATTATATAGATTATGTTATGTATAATAAACAAATTTAGTGGTTCAGCTTAGTGATTAGGGTATTTAATTTTTTGACTTGCGTCAAAGGTTCAAACTCCACCAGTAGCAGTTATTGATTTAATTTATTTTCCATTCATTCAATTGGTGACATGTGACACCATTTGATTGGATGAAAAATTTATTAAATAAAAAATATTTAAAAACATCCAATCACACAATGACACATGTCACTATCGAATTGATGATTAAATTTATTGAATTAAATAAAAATTAGGAGCAAATTAATATAATGTGTAAGTAATGATGACTAAATATGTAATTATACAAATTTTATTAACTGTCACATCGTCCCCTCCTTTAATATTTAACGACAGGTGATTTGATTGATAAGATTTACATAGTTAGGTGACCTGATTGACAAAATTAAAAAATTGGTGTTTAAAGTAGAAGGGTAAATAATTAGGTAGTCAATGTATAATTTATCCTAAAAACTAATGTTTTATAAATGTTATATTTTAATTAAATTATTTAATTTTTTAACTAATTTATAATTATTTGTTTAGTATTTTATAATTTAACATTTTATAAATTAATTTAATAGTATTCATCATTAATAATGTTCATATGTGCTTGTCAAGCGTGACAACATTATCATAAACAAAATCTCTATATCGTTTGTGCGAAAAAAAAAGTGAGTACTAACATGAGAAGAAGGATATAGTTTAGGTACCAATATGTAAATTAGGCATTTATTGTTGTTTTGTCAAAATAGTGAGTACTAACACGCTTTCTATGGCATGAATCTCAAACTCGCTTATATTTCTTGATTGTTCTTCAGTTCATTTCGTTTTAGAATTACAAAAACATAGCAATACTAGTAAAAATATGCTCCACTAAGCCACTGCACCGCCGCCGTATCTTCCGCCTCCTTAAAGATGGAGCAAAAGCTGACCGTAGTGATAGACCAAATGCCTTCCCGTGGAGCTCTCCACCGGTGGGCTCACTCCGATACAACTTTCCGTTTCGACGATCTTCCTCGATCTTTCCTCCCTTTACCTCCCAACTTCCTCATCCAATCCCACTCCGCCGCCTGTCATCACCTTTCCCACCGATTCCTCGGACAACTCCTCATCCAACAGCCAACCCTCTTGCTCCTCCCACGGTAACCCTAGGCATATCTCTTCTTACCTGCATAGTCTTTCTGTGGACTCTGATTTCTTCGACGGAATCGGGTTGACTGGACCGATTCCCGTAAGAGCTGGAGATGAGAAATTAGGCGGGAAAGTAGGGAAGAGGGCTCACCATAGGCATAATAACTACATGGATGGGTCTTTTGAGGTTCAGTCCTTGATAGTTATTTATGGTATTAAAACAACTATTACTTCTGATAGACTTGCTGTATAACATCCCAAATTATGTGTTAGTGACTAAATTATAAAATTTCAGAATTTGGTGATAAAAGTAGAATAGTTGAATAGTTCAATGATTTGTTTGGAAATATTTCCTGGAAGTTATTAGTAATTATCAAAGGAATTAAAGGGCAAAATGGTCATTTGACAGGAAAGATATTTTTCCCTATATATGAATGAATCACGTGGGGAAGGGGAAAGTTATCTTCTTCTTCTTCATTTCTTCTTCTCCATCGTGAACAAGAGAGCAAAGGTAAGATTTCTTAATTTTTGATTATTAGCTGAATTTTAAGTTGGGTTTTGATCATTAGATGATAACTAAGCTTAAGGAGAGCTTAAGTTATCTTAAAATCAAAAGATGAAGGAGTTATGATAGATTAAAGAAAATGAGTTTTTAAGTTAAATTTTGAATAAGAAGGTTTAAATGAATTTGGAGGATGAATTTGACTTGTCATCTATTAGAATAAGAAGTTCGAAGTGTTAGAATTAAGTTTGGATAACATGGAAAATTTGGTATGATTATTGATTTCTATATGGAGAATAGAATTTTGAGGTTTAAGATGAAATAAATGGATATAAATTAGTTTAAGTATGTATATTTGAGTAAATAATATAAAAGAGGATGAAATATGAAGAATTGAAGTGGAAATAGAGAATTTTCGTGCAATGAACAGTGATTTCCTGGGCTTGAACGAAAATTCCAGATTGTGCAGGGGGAACAGATTCCCCTGGGGGGAATCGATTTCCCCTAAATGAAAAATAGAATTTTGGTTCATTAAACCGGCTTAAATTATTAGCATCAAATTTAAGGTTTAGGCTTTTGATAGTTGTTTTGAAATGTTATATGTATGTAGATATTGAGCCTAAATAATTTCTGGAATAATCAAAGAATTAGGATCGAATCAAAGCAAGGCTAAGGCGAGTGCAATTTAATTTGTGCTTATAGAACATACATTGGCTTGCGATGAGCCAGTGATGGAGTTACTATGGTAAGAAGTGACTCCTAAAATGTTATATGATTGATGGAATTCTTATATGTGCATGAGTACATGAAAATAGGTATATGTTATAATATGTGATACATGTGGTATGTGACAAAATTTAAGAAATATGTGATCATAAGAGCAATGAAATGAATACATACATATGTCTATAGAGTAAGTGCATTTTTACATGTGATTTATATGAATACATGTATGTGTGATATATATATATATATATATATATGAACATAAGTAAACAAGACATGACATATGTGCTTACATAATAACATGAGAAATAAAATAAGCTATGTGATAAGGATATAGAGAATGAAATGAATGACATGAAATGTATGTATGCTTGACTATATGAGGTGAATGATATAATAAGAAGCTATGTGATCAGAAGATATGAGTTTATGTGATATAAAAGTGTATATGTGAAATGACATGATAGGTGATAAAACCGTGAGCCTATATGAATATATGATATGAATGTGATATATGTAATGTATGTGAAGCATATGAGAATAAGAGATGACAATGATTTACATGTCATATGAACACAAGAGAAGTGTTTAAGCTAAGTGGCATATGATTTATGAAATCATATGAAAAATGAAATGTGCATATGAATGTGTGAAATGATATAAATGATAATGCCCATGTTAAGTGATATGAGAGCTAGTGGTATAGTTGGCATGCCAAGAGTCGAGGGTTTACTTATGTTCTACGGAACATATGGACAGAATTACCTATGTCTTTCGGGACATATGGACAATATACCTATGTTCTAAGGAACATATGGACAGTTTACCTAGGTTCTTCGGGACTTATGGACAGTTGCTGAGGTTCTGTATGACCTCTGGATAGGTCCTTCGGGATATTTATATGAGCTGTAGTGACAGCATAATTGTGCACAACCTCAATGTACTCGAATACCTTAAGTTCTCACAGGTGTACATGGGCTAATAAAGAAATTAAATAAATATACTGAATGAGATATGTACATGTGTGGATTTTATATATGAATAGAAATATGATGGTATATGTGCATGTATGCATTTTGTTTATATGAAATATTATATGTTTTATATGCCTCACTAAGTCATCGACTTAACGTGTGATTGTTTCACACGTAGGTTTGGAAAGCGAAAAGAGAAGTAAAGAGGAACAAGACAGGTCAGTTCCCTTACCGAAGATCAGATCAGAAAGGTAGATAGAATTACATGTATTTTGTTAGAAAGAATTTAGTTGGCATGTAATAAATAAAAGATTTGTATTGGATACACTCTGATCAAGTTTTGGAATGTTTTAAAGATGTATTTGTAAATGGAAAATTTTATAGGAATGAAAGCTTAGAATTTTATGAATTTTATACATGTTTTGTCGAGGTACTGTAGCAGTACTATAGTAGTAATATAACAGTGGAATCGGTTCCCTGTAGCAGGGGAATCGATACCCTTAAGAAATCTGGAAAATGTTAATATTTGGGGTACTGTTCATGGTACTGTTCACACGGTACTGTTCGCACAATATTTTACTGTTTATAAATACGTTTTTGAATTTGATTTTTATACTGAAACATAATTTTATAGAATATTGTGGTATTTTCTTAAAAAGAGTTCAAATGTTTTGATACTTTGTAAATTATCGTTTTTAAAAGTTAATGTGACATCTCAGACTTGTATCCGAGTAGGGTACGGGTTGGGGTGTTACATTTAATGGTATCAGAGCTATGGTTTAGCCGATTCTTGGTTAAAAACGAAGTCAAAAGTGTTTTGAAAAGTATACATGCCCACACAAAGTGAAAAATTTTCTGATCTGATAGTGTAAGGAGTATATTGTCTTGTTAATAGAGTTAAATTGTTATTTATATTAGATGTATGATTATGAGAGCTTCCAAAGTGAAGCACAAGGCGATAGACCTGAAGGTAATAGCATTCACCTGCCCTGGCCAGGCAGGGAGAAGAACGAAAAACCTCAGGGAGTGTCTGTACAAGATTAGAGAATGTTTCATGATATTGAATGATATTATGATGTGTTTTCAATTTTATACTTCTATAATTCATAGAATGAATGTATCAAAAAGAGATGAGAACACCCGAGTTCAAGGGTGAATTTGAGAAATGTTCTATTGTTATAGACATTTGATTAAATGATATGAAGACAATGTTAGAAGATTTCATTTCTCCGAAGTTGAGAGGTTAAATTGAGTAGTTTCGTTACTATGTGGGAAATCTAGAAGTATGATGGACAAATGTCACCATAAGAATGTTAAAAGATCAAGTGACGTGGTTATCGTTTGTAGAAGAGTTCAAGAATAAGTACATGGAAGATTAGTTCATAAAATAAATGAAGCTTGAATATATGAGCTTGAAGCAAGGGAATCACACATGCATGTGTATGAAAGTAAGTTTGATAAGTTAAGCAGATTTATTGCTGAGTTGATTCTGATTAAGAATGATAAGAAGGGTACATGTGATTGGTTGTTTAAGGTTTACGCCTTAAATTAAAAGAGTGTTACTGGTTTTGAAATTGTTCTAATTTCAAGAAATGGTTAATAGTGTTAAAGCTCTAGAGAGAGCTAAGAATGAAAGGATTGAAAAAAAAAATCTCAAATGATTAAGAGAATTAATGCTTCACAAAGTTAAGCACCATCAAAGAAAGGTGGAGATTCTGGTTTTCAACTTTAAACCAGATATGAATTAGTTGTATTATCCGCTAGAAAATAAAGTCAATCAATTCAGACGGATTGGAAATTATAGTAATAAAGGAACTTTATCGTTATGAAATAGAATAGTTGTTGAGTTAATCGATCAATGGAATCGGCCAAGAGGGGGGTGAATGGCAATTTAAAATTTCGGTGGAAGCTTTTGCAGAAAATTGAAAGAAATTGCACATTGATTTACAGTGGTTCGACTTTCTCAAACAAAATCTACGTCCACTACCTTAGCTATCCACACTAAGGATTTTCCACAAATTCACTAATTTGTCCTTCTTTTGAGGACAAAGAATAACCTTACAAACCCTCAAGAATTATACCCCAAATTCTTGAGAAAATCTCTCCCAAAGAGAACAATACAAATTTGCAAACTTACAAGGAAATCCTCACAAGGTAGATTGTTTGCACAATTCTAGAACAAAGAAAAGAACACTCAAGAATGAATACAATTGAGTACAAAAGTGTTCTTGAAAGCAAAATGAATATTGAATGAAAATAGGCTTGAAATGCTCAAACTTGAGGTTTGATGCTTTCTCTTTGATTCTCTCTTGATTCTAGTTGCTTGATGTTTCTTGTTGTTGATCAATGGCTTCTAAACTTGTTTAAATACTCCTTGAATCAATTCTGAACGTTGGGGATAATTAGTGGAGATAGTAGAGCCGTTATTGTGTGAAAATAATTAAAAATCTGGTTGGGAGCGTCATCGATGCATGCACACAGATGCATTGGTGCATCAGTGTAAAATTCAAATATTTTGACCGTTGGACTCCTAGTGCAACGGTGCACTAAGAGTGCATCGATGCATGAAGTGCATTCGATGTTTGAAAAACAGCCTGGTGCATCGATGCATGGCTTGTGCATCGATGCATCAAATGCATTCGATATTTTTCATAAAATCCGAGTGCATCGATGCATGGAGAGTGTATCGGTGCATGAAATGCATTTGATGTTCAATTTATTCATTGATGCATCGATGCATGGATTGATGCATCGGTGCATGCCTTTGAAAATTGATTTAAGGCTTGATTTTGGTTCAAAATACTTTGTGAAAATTGTTTCAAAAATAGTTTAAGTACAAATCACAATTTTACACATTTAGTAAGGATTTAAAATTGATCTTGAAAGACTTGGAGTAATAAATTGTATCAAATATAATTTGTAAAATCATTTGTAAAATCTTAAAATTCATTTAACTTAATTTGTTATATCGAAATATCAAAAATGTTTTCAACAATCTCCCCCTTTTTGATATAACAAAACATTTGAGTAATTTTAAGATTTGTTTAAGAA